TTTCTATCACTCTTATCACCGGCCCAATCTGCATCTGAATAGCTTTCTAAACCAGTTTCTCCATTTTTGTATAATAAACCCATAGTCTGGGTTTGTTTGAGGTACCGCAAAATTCTTTTCGCAGCTTCCCAGGATTGTTTAGTAGGTTTGTCCAGTACTCGACTCAAATAAGATACTGCAAACATAATATCTAGTCTGGATGTTGTTGCCAAGTACATAAGGCTGCCTATCAGTTGTCTATAAGGAACATTGATATTTTCACCAGATTCCAACTGAAAATTCACCTCCATTGGTGTGGCTATACCTTTGCAATCATTCATGTTGAATTTGCTTAATACTTTCCTGATCATATCAGTTTGATTAATTGATAAAGAATCAGCTGTTCTCGTAATGCTCATTCCTAGGAAACTTTTTATTTTTCCCAAATATGTTGCATCAAATTCATCTTTCAATAGTTTCACTGTTTTTAAAATTCCTGCATCTTCTCCAGTAATGATTATATCATCAACAAATACAATCATCCATACTGTTGCATTAGAATATAGACAAAAGTCATATCCTGATCTTTTGAATCCATTTTTTATCAAGACTTCATTAAATTTGTTATTCCATGCTTTTGGTGACTCTTTAAGTCCATAAAGGGCTTTGTTAAGTTTCAGCACATTATATCCTTCCAGATTCAGTCCTTTAGGATTCTTAATATAAATTTCTGACTCGAGATTTCCATTTAAAAAGGCTGAGGGTATATCTAGCTGCATTATACTCCAATTATATTTGATTGCACAGGCAAGTAGAGCTCTTATAGTTGCCATTCTTGCAACAGGTGCATACATCGAATTCATAAAATCTTCTTCTTTAATCTGGAATCCTTTTGCCACAAGACGGGCCTTTTTTGTTCCATCTTCTTTTGTGCGAAACACCCATTTAGTGTCTATGGCTGTTTTTTCTGGTGGTAGAATCACAGGTGTCCATGTATTCATTTTGTTTAAAGATTGTAATTCTTTTTTGATGGCTTCTTTCCATCCAGTTTCCTGAGCTTCTTCAAATGTCTGTGGGTCTTCATGTGCAGTCAAGAAACAATATGCTGTATATAGTTCATATTCATTTAGATGTACAGGTCGTTTTACTTCTCGACCAGACTTTGTGATTATATTTCCTTCTTTTTCTAGATCTTCATTCTCTTCTGTATTTTCCTCATTTTTGTTTTCCATATTTTCTTGAATATCCTTTTCTGTATTTACATCATCTTCTTTGACATATTCTATAATCTTTTTCAATGTATCTTGTCTATTTTCATTGTAGTTAACACTTAATTCATCAAAAGTAACATCTCTTGAACACACTATTTCATTTCTATTCAAATTATATAGTCTATAACCACCTCCATTGTAACCAACCATTACTGATGATTCGGCTCGAGCATCTAGTTTATTTTGTTTTGGGAGTTTGACCATCCATGCTCGACTTCCGAACACTCTCAACTTTGTTAGGTCATTTTTACCATACCATCGAGTTGCTGGAGGTACACCTTTATTTGCACTAGTAGGTGATCTATTCAACTCATATGCGGAACATCTTATGGCTTCACCCCATAGCTCTTTAGGTAATCCTGTTTCAGCAAATTTGGTGCGTACTTTGTCCATAAGTGTTCTATTCATCCTCTCAGATGTGCCATTTTGCTGTGGGCTATACGGGATGGTGTATTGTAATTCAATTCCTTTGAATCTGCAATACTGTTTGAAGTAATTTGAAGAATATTCCCCACCGTTATCACAACGAATCTTTTTTGTTTTGAATCCATGTTGTGTTTTTATTAGTTTCACAAAGTCTATCACATTTTGTTCTGCTTCACTTTTTGATTTTAACAGTTTCACTACTAGGAAATGTGAAAAGTCATCTATTAATACTTGGAAATACTTTTCTCCTTCAAAAGTAGGAGGATTTATTGGTCCTGCAACATCACTGTGTATAAGATCTTCAATTTGTTTAGAACATTTTGTGGTATTATAAAATGGTTTCCTTGTGGACTTGCCTTCTATACACTCTGAACATATATTGTTATGAACAGGTAGTCCCAACAAATTCAGTCCATGTCGATTTAAATGGCCTAGTCTTCTGTGCCAAATATCTGGATTTTCTTTTTCTATGGCTTTTTCACAATACTCCATCTGGTTTGTATTTGATTCAATGTCTAGTTTCAGAATAAACAGGTTGTTTATCATTTCACATTTTAGTTCAAAATGTTTTCCAATTATTTTCACTTTGTTTGTATCAAACAATACTTTGTTGCCCTTATTCAACAATTGAGCCACTGAGATAAGGTTATGTTTCATGTTTTCTACAATAAGTCCACTGATTGTCAATTTTATGTTTTGACATATACCATGTAGCACTCCTTTCTTTTTTGCTTTCATATTTTCACCATTTGCTACACAAATAGAAACTTCTTTTTCTAAAATTTCAACGTCTGTCATATATTTTTCTAGTTCACTGTTTACCAAGTTCTGAGTTGCACCAGAGTCTAGAATGAAAATATTTTTATCATTCAATTGACTACTACAGTTCAGTGCAATGAATGTTATTTCACTAGCTTCATTTGCTCTTTCTGGTACGCCACGTCTACGACCACGGAATCTTCCTCCTCTAGCACGTCTTGCACCTCTTGTTGCTTGTTTCCACTGACCACATTCAGAGATTTTGTGGCCTTCCTTGCCACATTTGTAACATGTGTATGGGAATGCTTCAAAACTTGCTTCTTCACTTTGACTGGCTTTTTGACTACTTTTATTTTTCAGTTTTAATTCTTCATCTAACAACCTGGATTTTACAAAATCCATAGTAACATCAGTGTTTAGTGTTTCTATAGCTGTTATGACTGGATCATACTCTTCGTTTAGGGACAGCAACATATGACAAACCTTGTCAGACTCATCCACCTTTGATCCAACATTTTCCAATTCCCTCATTATGGTGTCAAAATTCAGAAAGTGATCTTCTAATTTTTCGTTTTTGTTTAATCTTAGAGTTAGTAGTTTTTTCTTCAATGTTAATTTTGTAAACACACTTTTTCTTTCAAAAACATCTTCCAATGCCTTTAACATTTGTTTTGCTGTTAATGCATCTTTTATTAGATCCAAATGTTTATCAGTTACACACTGTATAATGACAGATTTGGCTCTGGCATCTTTTATCTGGAACTCCTTTTTCTGTTGTTCTTCTGTGAAGTCTGTTTCTTCTTTCACTAGTGTTTCTTTGAGCTGTTTCTCTTCTAAAAGTGCCATTACTCGAAATTTCCAATTATTAAAATTTCCAGAGTTCAACTGCGGCAAGTTTCCTATTTGATTCATCATGGCGTCTTTTTGTTTTACTGTTAGTCTATAGGTTCTTATTTTTCTTCGTAGACCTTGGGCATTACTGGGCACATAACCTAATAGAATTGGCACTTTTGCTTCTTTCTCTATTATATTTTTATAGAGAATAATATTTCTTATTGTTTTTTTTTTTAAACAATTTTATTTAATCAAACATTAAACATTTTCATTTACTACATTGCAAACAGATTTTTTCTTCTTCTACAACTAACTGACTTGTGACTACTGACTATGTCAAACATCATCGGTACTCACAGAACACATTCATAGAATGAATACTCAAACAGCTTAAGCTAGCTTCACAATAACGTTAAATAAATCCAACAAGTTTAGTGTGAGTCGTTCAACAGCTTTGATGACTGTGCGAAGGGTTACAAAGGCCCTTGTTTCACTAGCACCAGCTGTGATCAGATGGCCTACAAGAGATATTGCTAGACAAAATTGGGCAGGGTTTGAAGCAATCAGTGCTCTTCCCAAAGTCTTAGGTGCAATTGATAGTACGCATATTATTCTTATCCCAGCACCTAAAGAAAATCCTGAAGCATACATAAATCGCAAAGGCTATCATTCCGTTCAATTGCAGGCTATATGTGATCACAAGGCCCGTTTCATCCATTGCTTGGTTGGACATGTTGGATTTGTTCATGACCAACGAGTATTCCGTCTATCAGAAGTCCAAGATTTCTTGGGGAATGAGGAAAAGTTTCCTGAAGACTGCCACCTCTTAGGGGATGCTGCCTACAAACTGCATCAGAGTCTTTCGGTTCCATATTCTGACAATGGCCGTTTGACTGAGCCTCAGAAGAATTTCAACTTTTGTCACTCATTAGGCAGAATAGCTATATTGAAAGGGCCTTTGGACTACTGAAAGGTCGTTTCCGGAGCCTTTTGCATTGTCTGCCAATGACAGACACTTCGGAAGTACCTGACTTTGTATTAGCTTGTTGTGTATTACATAACATCTGCATATTCAACGAAGAATAGGAAATTATCCTGGAATATGAAGCAGATCAGGATAATTTGAGTACTCATGGCCAGTTTGTTCAACAAACTGCTCCTCGAGCAGTTGCTGTTGCCAAACAAGACTTAATCCGTGAGAGGTTACCTGTTGGACATGTGTTATATCAAAGTGTATGATTGTTCTATAAAATTATATTTTCTGAAAAGTGTGAACTATATAAAGCTGTTTATTTCCTGAATATTTTATCAATTCACAGTCAACTTACAGTATAACAGCTTTGTATTTTGCTGATGGCTGAAGGACTTAGGTTGATGGCCATTCGATAAATTCTACCAATAAAGAACTTTTATTATTATTCTGAATATTCCATTAACTAGCTGTATAAATCATCTCTAGAAACAAAGTTGATATTTCAGTCACAAATCTGTTAAAAAACTTGATGTTCACAATAGAACAAGAAATCATTTCAAACAAGACTTCAGAAGATAAATAATGAGATCAGAATACACAAGAAAATTCAAAAACAAATTTCTAATATATAACTGTTAAGATTGTATGTAAAAGTGAGTATACCCACATACAAGATAAGTGGAATCAAAGCGAATTTAATGAAAAGAAATAAAGAATCACCATGCAGTCTTATAAAATGAAACATTCAATGAATGTCACTATAACTTCTTTATTAATTCATCAATTTTACTGAGCAGAGACTCTTGTTTTTGCATGTTTTCAGCATGCCTTCTATCTTTCTGTTCTTCTGCAATTCGGCGGCTTTCTAGTATGGCTGCTGTTAATTCTGAGAGTCCTTCACTGGCCTTGCGCTTCTTTGGAAGCAATGATTTCCGAGACTCATCGTTTTCCTCTAGACTTGATTCACTGGCTGTCCTAATCTTCACATTGGAGCTGGATGAGGATGCCAGTGCAATCGGTTGCATGAAGGGATGCTCACCTATCAGTGATTGCATGAGCTCAAAGTAGGGCCATGATCTAGGATTGTTACCAGACTTTGAGTTATGATCACTAATAGCCTTGAATGTTCTCTTCATACCATTGGATTTTGACATACACTGAGGACCAGACAACTCTGGAATATTACAAGTACTAATAAAATCTGAAAATATGGAGATATTCCCACTGCCCGAATAGTACAAAATCATTTACAGTTTCAGGAGCTGAATCTAATGTATCCAAGGTTTTTGAAGCCTTCTCCATTAATATTTCAATGTTGGCACTCTTTCTTGGATGGATTTGAAGACTGTGGTGTATTCTCATCAACTGATTTTTGTTTTTTGAATAATTGCTTTGCGTGCTTTGTGTCTCGCTTTGTGTGCTTTGTGTGGACATCTCTGACGATTCATCAGAGTATTCAGGCTCCAGATTGATTTCTTCTAATTCAAGTGTCCCATCAAACAATACTTCTGTTTCTTGAGATTGTTCCTGAAATAGTAATACATTTTTTCAAAAATATTGTATAGATACGAACCATTGCTGAAATCTAATAATAACTTGATAAAATTGGGTTTATCTGTTTCACAAAGTTTCATCCAAATCTATGTTTGATTCACCACAGGTAATAGGACCTGCTGAATCTTCCTAAAATGCTGATGACTCGAAGCACCATAACTTTGGAATATACACATCATCTCTGGAGGACCCTGTCACTTTATTCTTTTTTACTTTTCCAACTTGATGGAAGTTCTGGGTTCGAAGGCTATGAAGTTTTTTTCATGTCTGCTGCATTCAAAGAAGTCAACATACTTTCATTCAATTCAACTGCAATCTCCTGGAAAGACTTCTCCCTTCTGTTTTTATTGTGGTAATCTTTGGATGTCACCCGGTATAAGCAGGGGTGATTTTCATAGAGAGCAACTAGTTTCATTTCCAGTTCCTTTGACCATGTGAACTGATTATTTCTGAAATGAAAGAATTGTTTACAATCACTCACGATTCGCAACATCAACCTTTTTTGAACACCATTGCATTAGGTTTGGGCATAATATTCTCTCCAACACGTATTCACGGCTAGGACTTTCACCTTTCATCAGACTGACCGGAGTCCAACTTATAGGTTAGGACTTTAGGAGGGAAATATTTATCTTTATCATTAGGTTGGTGTTCCGTATTTCACTGAAATAATAACAAGAATTGCAGATGCAATGCAATACAAATAGGTCCAGCAGACTCATTCTGTGCAATGCAAAAATAATTGCAACAGCTGATCGAAATAACAATATATGCGCATGCTCACAAATCAAAATTGGTGCAATTTTCATTGCATGCTAGAGAAATTGACAACTGTAAGAGCCGCTTTACAGTTCTAAATTCTTTATTGCATGCAATTGATTGCTGCAATTTGTATTGCAGGCAATAATAATTGCAGGCTATTTTACACTACGCGGAATGGCCGAATTGCAGTGACATTTAGTCATTGCTTTAATGCTGCCAACTTCTATAATAATTGACAGTGAAAACCCTTCTGTCACTTCTGTCATCCTCCTTTCAAGGACATGATTTGAAAATTCGAACTGGTTTCAAACTCATTCAAAGTTATTTGTTTAAAAATGGAATCATATGATATGAAAAAGAGAGTTCACTTGTGCATTATAATAATCTGCTGTGCATTATAATAATCTGCTGTGCATTATTGTTTTTGTGGGAAAGAAGATGGTGGGTAGAGCCCTGGCTCACCAGAGTTTTGAATCTCTCGAATGACTTTATAATAAAAGATGATTTGGAGAGATATAAGAATTTTTTGAGGATGTATGAAGATACATTCCTCAAGTTATTGAATAAAATCCAGCGCAGGATATGTAAAAGATCATACAGACTCGAATGTATTTCCGCTAAAAATAAATTGATCATAAATTGAGGTACCTTGCTACCGGTGAATCTTACAGGAGCCTCATGTACAATTACAGAGTGTCAGAAAGTACAATTTCTTTACTTGTTTCACAAGTGTGCGGCATTATATATGAGGAACTCAAAGATGATTATCTCAGAGTGAGAGACAATATATAGTATAATTATTCCTTGAACTATTACTCATTTCATACTTTTTTCAGGTACCAAATACAGCAGCTGAATGGTTGGAAAAATCTAGAGAGTTTGAAGAAAAGTGGAACATGCCAAATGTCATTGGGACATTGGATGGCAAACTTATTATGATTCGAGATCCAACTGATCAAGGGTCAGCCTTTTATAATTATAAAAGTCAGCACAGTATTGTTTTACTAGCATTGGTTGATGCAGATTATAATTTTATGTAAATTAATGTTGGAATGAATTGCCGTATTTCTGATGGAGGAATTTACTGGGAAAGTGACTTATCCAGAGCAATTGAACAGAATATCTTGAATTTACCTGAAGATAAACCATTACCTGGAAGAAATATTCCTGTTCCATATGTGATTGTGGCAGATGGTGCTTTCAGTTCATCAAGGCATATAATGAAACCATTTTTAATGAAAGGAATAACAAGAGAACAGAGAATATTTAATTATAGGCTCAGTCGAGCAAGAAGAATGGTAGAGAGTACATTTGGAATATTGGCAAATCGTTTCCGAGTACTTCTCAATACTAACATCCTATGTCCTGAGAAGGTCAAGATTGTTACACAAGCTTGTTGTACAAGCTTGTTGTACCTTACATAATTATTTGAGAAGAGAATCTCAATTGCGGTACATGAATCAAAGTTCTACAAATCATGCATTTAGTTTTGTTTATGGCCTGTCTGCTCAAAGTCAAACAAAAAGGCCAACTAGACAAGCTATTAGAATTAGAGGAGAATTCACAGAATATGTTGATGGCTGTGGATCAGTTACATGGCAGGTTAAAAAAATTGACATCAGGTCTCCAGACATGAATGTTTAATGACAGTTTTCCCAAAATTTTTTCATTAACAATATCTACCTAATTCATTAAAACACAATTTCATATTTCAATAATAAATACTTCGAATTTTTCATATCATTGTTTCTTTTGTCGATTCAAGTTCTTTGCTTCATATAATGAGCACGAAATTTTTTGTTTCAATGCATCTAGAATTGATTCATCCTCAATTGTGTTCATTTCACTAGCGATCATCCTGTGAGAAAAATATTCAGTTCTTTGCTAGTTCAGTGTATGATGAATATTGAGCCTACTATATCAAAATCAGGCCAATTGTATTATTTATGAAATGAAAAGTTTCTGATACACTTGAGCGATACATCCTAAACTGAGTGTACCAAAAACGACTCGACTCTAATACTCACTTTCCAAATAATTGATTCTGCTCTCCCAATATATTTGGAATAACATTTTCTTTCTCAGTCAAGCTTATCAAAGACTTTGAAGCCATGTCCAATAAATTTTCAATTTTATCAGCTTTTCTCCTTCTTTCTGGCGTTAACTGGTTGGACAGGCTCTCGAGATATGATATCTTCATTCTGACTAGAACAGGAATTGAACTTCTTTTGAGGTTCCAGGTGGATTTCATTTAAATCAGAAGCATACCTATCATATAGGATCTCATTGTCGGCCTTATCATCATACTAAAAACAAGAGAAGACAAACTATTATTATTCATTTTATTTGAAACAATATTCAATCATTCAGGCAAATCAGAACCTGATGGACTGATGTCTGGTGAATATCTGATGGTGTATGTACCTATGCCCTTAGTACTGGTCATCATTTGAATTTTCAGTTTGCACACTGTTTTCAGCATTTTCAGGTAAGTTGAGATTAGATTCACCCTTGTTTACTACTTCCGTAGATGGATTCAAATAGCTCAAGGCATCAAAACACCACAATGTTGGTTTGTATAACGACTGCCTAGTTCTAATATGACGTATCCCACAAAATATTCGAAATTATCTTTTTGATGGATACCAATAGAGGGCATCATTTTCTATCATGTGATAATATGTCGTAGGAAACATCCTGAAAATAATATTTTTTTCGGCCTGTTCGAACATTTATCAGAGTCAGCTGATATTTTCGATTCCAATAGGACGTAACCTGCAGTGTACAGTTGATTTCATGCCGCGTTCAGTGTCATGCAGTTCGTGTGTTTAGAAGTGAGCAAATTGATAAATAATACATGATTTTTCTATAGGTATAATATATCCAAGGTGAGTACTAATGAATCAGGAACTTGAACCATTCATTGAAGCATATTGTTTCGTTTGTTAAATACCATAAAGTCTTGATTTGAAGTAGTAGTGGGATACGTCTTATTAGATCTCATTGTGGGTAACATGGGTTACGACAAATTAGAATCGATTTGTAGTAGAAATAACACAAGGTCCTGTTGATTCATTTTCTCCTTAATAATTTTCAAGTGAAAATATTTTATTCTCAATGACTCGGATATTTTAGTAGAATGCTGAATGAAAAATATTTTTTCAGATGTTCAATAGTAGAAGAGCAAGAATGCTTGCTCTGGTTCTGGAGGACAAAACTGATTCAGAGTCATCAGCAGCTAATGCTAATATCAATGATCTTGTACCATTCGTTACGAACAACCAACACGGATTTCTACCGCAAAGATCAGTTACATCCAACATGCTTCTAGCCACAAACTATTGTACAAGAATTCTTGACAATGGGCTGCCCATGGATGCAGTCTATTTTGACTTTAGCAGAGCGTTCGACAAGGTACCACACGATTTGCTCATCAGGAAATTGGACCACTTTGGAATTCGAGGTAATCTACTGAGATGGATAAAGTCATTTCTGAGCAGCTCATATTTCTCGGTTAGAGTTGGTGACCAATTATCAACCAGAAACAAGGTAACCAGTGGAGTCATTCAAGGATCTGTGCTCGGTCCGACTCTGTTTCTACTCTACATCAGCGACCTCGCGAGAGAAATATCATCATTCTCACTTTTCTTCGCAGACGATCTGAAAATTTTCAACCAAGTCACCAATAACAGAACAACCATACAGGAAGATCTGGTTGCCATAAGTCGCTGGAGCTCTGTATGGAAACTACCATTGAACTCAGCGAAGTGTATGGTGCTGCATATGGGTAGCAATAATCCCAGAATTAGGTACACCCTCAGCAATTCGGATTTGCCTGTAGTGGACGAACAAATCGATCTCGGAGTGACAATCACCAGCAACATGGGTTGGTCCCAACACGTCAACAAAATAGTGAAACGAGCAAATAGTGCGTTATACCTTATCAGCAAAACTTTTCATAGTCCTTCTCCTACACTCATGTGTAATTTATACAAGACTTATGTCAGACCTCATTTGGAATTTGCTGCTCCTGTCTGGTCACCGTGGTTGATTCGCGATATCAAATTAATCGAGGGTGTCCAACGCCGTGCCACTAAAATCATTAACGGACTGAATCAAAAATCGTATGCCGATCGCCTGCAACATTTAAACCTGCCTACTCATTACTGGAGACGAACTCGAGGCGATCTGATCGAAATTTATAAAATCCTAACAAATCGGTACACAGTAGACTTATCTAGCATGTTTGAAGTGAATGAGAGTGAAAGGTTGCGCGGTCATCCATACAAACTGAAACGCGAAAGATTCAGAAAATGTGTACGCGAATACACACTATTCAACAGATCCTTCCAGCTCTGGAACAGTTTGCCCGCTAACGTAGTCTCAGCGCCATCCCTGAATGCTTTCAAGAATTCTTTGGACAAACATTATAATGATAACCCACACATATTTCCCCAACATTTCCTACTCATGTAAATTCTACGACAGGCTTATATAGCTGATTCAATCCCCATTAGTAATTATTTTAGAATTAAGCAATTACTTTCATGATTATGTATTTATGTATAACTTTAGTATAAAGAGTTTATAAGCTTCTAGCTTCTACTCTTGTTAGTTTATAAATAAATAAATAAATAAATAAATAAATAATTTCGAGGTGAATAATAGAAATGATAATAATATTGATAATCAACCTGTTCATTTGATGCGAGAACAAGTATAGCTGATCTTTCTTCTTCACAAGACACCCTACTAATGAATTCTCATTCAACTTCGCCTTTGCTCATTGAAAACCAAACTATCCTGCAAACAGATAGGGATCACATATTATTATTTTTATTTAACGAAGAACGAACTAATCCTGATGACCTGATACTGAATGACAATGATATTGATCTCGATAATATATTGCCTGCAGTAGATATCGAAACACCAACAATGCCAAATACTTCACCAGAAAAGTATCTAGAAGAATGTTCATCGGTTAATAAAAATGATGATAACATCAATAAAAATAATAAACACGATGATAACTTCAACAATAATTTGCAAATGAATCAAAATGCAATCGATTTGGAGAATTCCGACGTTAATGACCCCGATTATGTACTATTGCCAGATGACGAAGAAGATGACACTGAAAAAATACCAACAAAAAAGAGAAGAAAATTAGCTGATAGAAACTGTTGGGATAAGTACGTGAATCAGAAAAGTGGAATGCACGGAAAGGAATACATAGGATATACTAGGAAAAATGGAGTAGTGAAACATGATTCGAAAAGAAACCAAAGACAAATGGGCCTCAGATGTGAATCTACGTTTTGCAAGAGAGCATCAAACAGACACTGTGATGTATTCACAGATGACATAAGACAACTCATTCTTGAAAAGTTTTGGGCTATGGATTGGGAGCAGAAGAGATTGTATATTGTTCATATGACTAATTATTCAGAAAAAAAATAGAAGTTATGAATCAACTCCTTCTAGAAGAACTAGGTCATTTCAATACTATTTAAGACATGATACGGGAAAGTTTCAAGTTTGCAAAAAACTTTTCTAGGGACACTTGGGATTTAAAAAAAATGGTCGTGAATTGGGTCAACGAGGGATAACAATTTGGACTTCTAGATTCGAGAGAAAGAAGAAATGAAAAAATCACAGAAACAAAAAGATCACCTAAACTATTTACAGACATACAGGACAGAAGGGAGCACTTGAGAATGTTTTTCAATCAACTGCCAAAAATGGAAAGCCATTATCATTGAGGAAATACTGATAAACTATACTTAGAAGAGGATTTTAAATCAAAAACAGAAGTGTATGAGTTATACAAAACAAGGTGCTTAGCTGATTCTACTACACCACTATCCAGCTTCTTATTTTCAAGAGAAATGGACGACATGCGAAAAAGAAAGCAGGTGGAAGAATGTGTTTACCAAGTGCATATTAATGCAGAAGAGGCAGCACGAAGTGAGAAAAGCGTTGATAAAAAAAATGCAGAAGAGAACTGTTTCACAATGGATGTGCAGGCTGTGAAGCTTTGCCCAAAACTGGAAGTAAGCACTGCTTATTATAAATCGAAATTACAAATACACAACTTCACTATCTACAATCTATCAACACATCAGAGTGAAAACTTTGTGTGGAATGAGTCTGAAGGAGAACTGTGTTCGTCAGTTTTTGCAACTTGCATAGTCAAACATTTGGAATCATATCTAAATATTGAAGTGAAGCCTATTATCATATGGTCAGATAGCTGCGGATACCAGAACAAGAATAACATTTTGTCAAATTCTTTGTCTCTGCTGGCTACAAAGTACAGCGTAACCATCGAGCAGAAATATCTTGAGAAGGGTCACACTCAAATGGAGTGTGACTCGACCCATAGTCTTATTGAGAGGCGTCTTAAAGGAAAATACATATATTTACCCACTGATTACATTAACATCATCAGAGAAGCAAGAAAGAAACCATTTCCATTGGATGTAGAATATTTGGATCATTTGTATTTTCTCAACTTTGAAGATACCAACTGTAAGAGATACAATTCTATACGCCCTGGAAGTAGGAAAAATGACTTGAAAGTCAATAATCTGAGATGTTTGAAATATGAATCTGAAGGAACAATTTTTTATAAATGCGCATTCACAGACAGTTACGTGCTGTTACCACAACGACAAAAAGCAGTTGATGTCAATTATGTTCCTGAACCCCTGTACCAAGAGAGACTCAAAATTAAAAAAGTAGTGTATTGCCTATAGATGTACATTCTTTTATGATACACTACAATATGAAGTAAAGAAGAAAGTGAAAGAAAGTGAAATAGCAAAAACCAATTGAAGAAGATCAAGATGACAGCGAAACACCCACAATTGAACACATCATTGGCAAGAGGTAAGGACAAATAATTATAGAAAAGCAGGGTATCAGGTATTATAAATTTTCAGGCAAACTAAAAAATGTGAAGAAGTGGTTGAAGATGAGATGGACCAGAATAAAAAGCTCAAACGTAATAATTCCCAAACACGAAGAAATCAAGATTCAAAAACTAAAAAGTGAGCTACTTATCTAATTGTGTTGTTATTGATGGGCTTCTTGACTTTGAGATTATTGTTTCAGAAAACCAAAGGCATGCAAGAAGTTGAGAAGCAATAAGAAGTAATGATCAAAAAACAAATATGATTATAATACCAAGTAAATAAATAATATACACGATGATAACAATCTTGAAAACGTTCGTAAAATCGCTTCGTGACAAGTCGTGACCTGCCACTAGAGTGCCAATCCGTCATTTCAATTGACGTGAGCCAGCGTTGCCACTTTGATATTAGGTAAAGTTTCATACTTGTTATTTTGCCCTTAATGAATTTTTGTCTTCATTTTTCGTAACTTACATGGATGCACGGTGGATAACGTAATTCGAACAAACGGATCATTTGTAGCATCGCATCCTTATATCATGGTTGCACGTTTCAGGTAGGTTTGAATTCATGCTGCAAGAATAGACTAGAATACTCTGAACGTTTTGACAAGCATTCATTAGGGAGTTGGGAGTGCAGAATGCGTAAACGTAAACGTAGAATTTGACATCTAAGCATGCGATAACTATTCGGTTTTTACTTTAACCTCACTTTTATCACATGAAATCACATTTGTTTTTTATTGCGCTCTGTTCTTGTGTTGTGCTTCGAAGAAATCATGGACAATTAAAATAAAAAAATTCTCTTTTCCTTGGAAGATGATTCGCATCTCGCAAGAGACTGCTGGTACTGGTACTGGTGGGGGACGTTTCCACGTCAGCAACTAGTCCCCAATGGGACCTTATTGCAAACCCCAAGTGTTTTCAATGAATGATGTGGTTCGCTCAAGAGAGCTGGCTAACATATCCTTTTCAGGCACCGCCCATCAGCTCTCTTTTCAGAGTTTTTTCAGCTGTGTTTTGTAGGCTAGTAATGTACTCACTACCATATGCGCAGTGGCAGGCCTGCTAACTATCATCGTTAACCCCCGAGACCGAGGTATACTTAAGCAGCTGGCCCGCTCTCACGCTCAGCTGGTAGTTTTTCCACACCCACCTACATACACCGTCCTACTCCTTCTATGATGCTCACAACCACATCATCATATCTTTCTGCGTGTTCTGTGTAGGCTTTGTTACTAACTCCATACACCACTTTAGGAGCAGCACTGTTAATTGGAACGCAACAGCGAATCGTGCAGGACTATCCCCAGCCGATGCTCCGAAACTTTACAATATTTAATTCGTAAATAAAATATTGAAAAAAGTTCCTTGCCCGTGCTGGAAATCGAACCCACGACCTCGCGCAACCCTCGCAAGGGAAGTTGTAGGCCATATAATCCTTACGAAGACACGGGCCGTTGGAACCTCATCCAAATGAATATAATATAAATTACTGAAAAACTTATAGCTTATCCTGGTATCCCTAAGGCTCTAGCTAATCTTTCATTGTCATTTTTCGCAAATCGAAATAGATTTTTACATTCTATTTCAAATAAATTGTTCAAATTGATATCTCTATATAATTTCCTTCGATTACCTAAATTGTCGTTCTGATTCAGTACATGAAGGATGAACATATCATCTAGGTCATCGTCACTACTAGCATCGCTATCATTTGTAGCTTCGAATATCAAAACCTCTTCCATTTTGCAACAGGGTTTGCAGCAACAACACTGAACAATATCCAAGCAAGCGAAGAATAACATATCGAAACATTTGAATGGAAAAAAAGGGTTAAAATGAGTCTGGTCTTATATCTTGTATGTACGTAAAACATGCACGTACCATACGGTAGCTTTAACGCTACTTTTCATTGAATACGTATGTATTTCTATTCACGTTTACGTCCATACGTAATTGCAAGTTTCTGTATTGGCTTTAACTCCCTATTATTGAAATAAAATGTGCATACATATCTAATAGCGTATTCGACTGGCTGCACCAGTGCGTTTTAATTCGAACGTTATCCGAGCATGCGTGTTCGGCTGTCATGCATTGATAAAGCTCTGTTAAAAATAAAGGAATTGTTAGGAACTACTCGGATAATGAGGTAGTATTGGTATGGAGATAAACAAATCATTACTTTCCTATATCCAATAATGATTTTCAGTTCAGACGAAACTTCAGAATGCGAAATACCTTTGGAGCCTTAAGGAACCAATTCGAGAATTCTGTTTATTACAATAGAGAGCAAACACATGGATGTTCCCCAATAACCCCAGCAGAGATAGCCATCCTATCATTTTTGTGGTATGCAGAGAATAAATGTACCATGAGAGATGTAGCAGGAAGGTTTGGGATAGCTGAATCTACATTTCATTCACTGTTCACCAAAGTTATGGAATTTTTGAATAGTATAGCACCAAATGTGATAATTTTTCCAACTACTCTCGAAGAGAAGGAATTTACAGAAACAGAATTTCTTAAATTGACTGGATTTCATTGATGGCACTTATATTTCGATCTGTACACCACATAATAAAATCAAAAGTACATATGTCTACAGACATGATTCATCATCATATACACTGTAGTGTATATGCAGATATGATAAACTGTTTTTAGATGTGTTCACTGGTCTACCCAGCAAAATTCATGATTCAAGTATTCACAGTTTATCTAATATATCTAAAAAATTACCTGGTATTTGTGGGGATAGATGTCACATTCTAGGAGATTCAGCTTATCCTAAGAAAATGGTTGCTAACACCCTTTCGATGCATAGATTTCGGGAGGATCTAATTCAACGTTCTGCGTGGCATTAGCCAGGAAATTAGTTGTTTTTCTCCCGAAATCTACCATTGTTGTTCATTTTATGAACATTGTGTGGAAATGACTTTTGAGCTTTTTGTATTTATTTCACATTCGATTCCACTCTGAGCATTGTGGTTATTTCGTAGTTGAAATTACGCCAGTCGGGCAACCAGCCGCTCCCGTATGGAAATTTCAGTTTTGAAGTGATTATTTCCTTCTGTTCTACTCAGATGGCGTTGCTTTCATATTGTCGATGAAAGACGCCTCTGAGGGAATATAATGCCGACTTGAGTTTAGTTTGGCTAGGATACGCTGAGTCGGCGGTCTTAGGACTGCTGGCTGGAGACTACACTACACTGATGAGAGTCAAAGAGCTCGAAATAGGTCTGTGGTTGTCTAGCGTGGCTTGGCTAAATCGAAATCAATAGGCATTCAGGAAAGAATCACTTGTATCAGTAATCATTTCTACGAGTCGATGCATAGATTTCGGGAGGATGTAATTCAATGTTCTGCGTGGCATTATCCAGGAGAGTAGTTGTTTTTCTCCCGAAATCTACTATTTTTGTTCATTTTATGAGCATTGTGGGGTAACGACTTTGAGCTTTTTGTATTTATTTAACATTTCATTCCACTTTGAGCATTGTGGCTATTTCGTAGTAGATTCTTATGGGATGTGAACGGCAGGTTTTGTGCACGCTCCAGGGGCTCCTCATTCTCCAATCGTCGACTGTTGTTCGTATACGAAAAGTGCCGTATGATTTGACGCGTATGGGGTATGTGTGTACGAAATTGAATGTGCGAACAGAAAAACTAGATTATGTGACGTTTTTCTTTGATTCTCAGTGCACTACTGCTTCATTCGTTCATTTATTTTGTGCTAGCTTTAATTGTGTAACTATATCATTCTCTTGTCATTCTGTTATTGATCGAGCTGTTGATATATAAAATGGCCCATTTGAATCATTTGATAAGAATAGCTGGTATTGAAGCCCTTGAAAATGCTGAACTTCTCAACAATCCTAGAAGATTTCGTGTTCATGATAATGGTTTTGATGAAAGTGAAGAGAATTTCATCAAATTATATAGGCTAACGGAAAATGTTGCTGCGGACCTCATTGATACTTAGTCTCCATTTATTAGATTCTCAAATCGCACATCATCAGCACTGGACATTGAAAGAAAAGTGAGTGGGTACATAGTTATTATTTCTTATATTAATATTAACACTGTTCTCCTTATTATTATTCTGTTGTGAATGCTAACAGCATTGAGATTTTTTGCTTCCGGGAGCTATCAACTTGATGTGGGAAGTAATATTAATCATGGTATGAGCCAACCATCTGTGAGCAGAAGTATTGAGGAGGTCTGCAATGCTTTGAACCGTCCTGAAATTTTCAATACACATGTCAAAATGCCTCAGAATATGAATGAAATCAGACAAATTCGAACAAAGTTAGTAGGGAATTCAATTTATTAATCAACATAGACTAACCATTTGTATGTTCAATTACAGGTTCTACTTGAATCATGATTTCCCAGGAGTAATAGAGGCTGCTTGGACTGTACCCATGTTACCATATATCCCCCACAAATAAATCAGCCTATATATCCAGAAGCAATATATGTTGATAGAAAAGGTTATCACTCTATGAATGTTCAATTGGTGAGTATATAGTTTTCACTGAAGATTAGGTAGCTATAGTAGTGTAGTCTAAACTACATACTAATCAATTTGTCTTAATTTCCAGATTTGTGATAGTGATTTGAGAATAATGAATGTTTGTGCCAGATATCCTGGAAGCACACATGATAGTTGTATATGGAATAATAGTGCTGTCCTATCATACATGCAAAATTTGCACAGGAATAATCATAATGTATTTTTATTGGGTGGGTAGGTTTTTCTTTCATTATACAAAATTCAACAGTCAAATATATTGTTAATTGAGTTACTCCTAAAATATGTTTTTAGGTGATTCAGGATATGGTCTCAGACCATGGTTATTAACCCCTTTTGAAAACCCTACACCTGGTTCTCCTGAAGAAAATTACAACCGAAGGCAAAAAAGTACAAGGTGTTTGATTGAGAGGTGCAATGGTGTACTCAAGTTGAGATTTCGTTGTCTTTCAAAGCACAGGACACTACATTATACGCCTGAAAAAGCTTACAATATCATTAATTCATGTGTTATACTACATAACATCTGCATCAACAATAACATTCCCCCTGTGAGGTTGGGTGATGAAAATGGAGATGCATATCTAGGGGAGGTTGATTTTGAATTATATGCAGCTGGAAATGAGGTGGTACCTCCTATCAATCGTAATCCAGAATCAGCTGCTGGAAGATTAATACGTGAACGAATAGTCAGAAGTTATTCCACTCATCAATGAATTTTATACATGTACATATTGTCTTTGAAGGAATAAAAGTTTTTCAATCTTAACAGAATGATTATTGTATGCCAGAAATTGAACCCAAACTATAATTCAAGCTGTATACAGAGGTATATTTGACAAGAGATATATATAACTAAATAAAACAGTCTGAGGAAATAATATATAATGTTGATAACAAGATTCAAATAACAAACTTATTTGAAATCTCAAACTGAATAAATGAATGGAAACACATTCAAAACACATTCTTAATGGAACATCCAGGTACTAGAGCATGTCAGTAGATACATAAGAAATTAAACAATTGACTCTGCTATTGATTCAAGAGCAGATGCTATTCTTGCTTTTACTGCAATGTCTTCTTTATAAAAATTCAGTTTTTTTTCTGAAATATTCTTGACGAATTGCTATATAATGTAACGACCCAAGCCAGTTCGCTTGGTAGAATATTTCATCATGATCAAGAGTATTGATTCATTTGGGAAGTCATTATCTTATTTCTGATATTTGAGGATCATAGTTAGTGCTTCAGTTCATGACTCCATTAATGAGGGTTCAATTTCTATGAGTAGTTGCATTTTTTATCAGAGGAATAAGTAACAAATCATCACGAGATCATAAATTCTATCACTCAAACTTTGGATTGTATCCCAGGTATGGGGAGACCTTGTTGGATACTGGATTATGCAGTGTTGTGCTTTGTTACAACATTAGAAAGCTTGGTAAGTAATCTGGACATCGATTAGTATCGATTTATTCCAGCTACAAAGGCGGGAAGAGTCTGTTTTGTGGAAAAAACTCTACAAATTCACAAACGTTTGACACGGTCAGACGTTCATAAATTCACTTCAAATCTGAAGTAGAACCACAGGGACAGACTTATAAGTATGTGCAGACAGCTACCTGATCTTTGGACATCGTATGTTCACAGCTAGAAGCCTCATACTGCAAGGGAGCACCCTGAAATGGGGCCAAAAAGGGGCCAAATCCAGGTTTGTTTCAATAAAAGAACATCAGTAACCATGGAAGTGGTCCTAGTGACAATCACAACAAACGGTTATGTCGAACCGGCATATCGTATAATTGAATGAAAATCCATCAGATGGCGTTGGGCCGGTATGCATTTACGCAGAAATAGCCATTTTGTTTGTGCGAAGACAGATCTATTGATCAAAACGCCAGTCGCTTAAAACCTTCAAGGCGCAAAGACGTCCATCATGTAAGTAAAACTGAATTATCTCACAATAGTACGTTTTTTTATTACCCAGATATGACTTATTGGCAGATAAACCGGTTTGTAGTTAACATTAATGCGTTTATAACAGCCCAACTAAAACAAACCGGCATATATGCCAAAATGTCGGTTTCCGGGACATTTTCTCCAGGCGAATAGAGCAAGATATTAATTAAAACCGAAATATGTTTCACTAATTCAGTTCAAATTGTATCAAAACAAAGTTTCATGTGTGATGTTTCTGAAGATGTGCCGGTTTATTTTATTCAATACGTATCGTTATGCAAGATGTTTACGGCTTACTAGGCTCAAAATCGACCCTTGTATGTAGATACTTGAAGTAACTACCTCATAGCCTCAATATTTTTCGTCAGATTACTTATAATATTGTTGTTTATTAAAGGTCGAAGCGTACAGCTTTGATATTGAAACTTGCGGCAAAAAGTGGAAGGCGGTGGCAAGTGATTGCGCCAGATGCTTTGCCTCCGACACGAGTCAATTCAAAACGCAGTACTGAAGATGTTCCTGAAAGTAGTAAGACTGAAAAACAATTATTCGAGACTGAAACCCACGGTTCCCCTCCTGCTGGTAAGTTTAGGTTTTGTCGTTTGATTTAGATAAATAAATATTGGTCGTCACTTGGTGTAGTCAATACTAATATAGGAATAACTCATCCACTCATTGCTCATCATTTCCAAACTTTTTCCTATAATATAAGTATAATAATATTATTTTAAATATATTTCCTAGGATGTGAAGTTACTGCATCAACGAACGCTGACCTGACTAAAATAGATACAGTAGAAGTTCCTATAGGGCCAATGGATGTAAAAGCTTGGGTTAATAAGCTGCCTGATCCGTTGCAACCAACATTATTCATGGATACAGAAAGCACTACTGAAAATGTTCCTAAAACTAGCAAGACTGATTTGACTGAACTACAAGCACTCTCTAATAATGTAATGCAATGTGAACCTATACAAGAAGAGACTGAAAAATACATTTCTCCTTTGACTGGTAAGTTCAGGCTTTTGCCATTTTGATGTATATGAACCGATACTGTTCATCGTTCGCATGATATCTATGATGGGTTGAAGATGAATATGATGTATATTTTTACATTTCAGAATGTGGAGCTACTGCACCAACGATGACTGATTTGACTGCGGTAGATCCGAATGAAGTTTCAATAGAGCAAATGGCACGGGAAGCTCAGAACTCTAGTTTGGTCGACGATATTTTCACGGGTAAATCATTGGGGACTGAAAGCGACAATGTCAGCAACGATATTAACACGGACTCTACTGATGAGGAAGAACAAGACCCATTTCATAATTCTGATGACGATGAAGTCGACCCCGATTATGATTTATCAAATTCTGGCTCCAGAAGTGGAAGTGAAATTAGAGATGATGAACCGGCGACTGGGATTGAAATCGAAAATGTAAACGAACCAATTACAAGGAAGAGGAAAAGAGGCAAATTCAATAAAAGAACTTTAGCAAAGAAGATGCGAAACTGTGGTGAGGAATACGAGTCTAAAACCCGAGGAAGAGTGAACAAACGAAGCATGAAGCCTCCTTGCCACAACTGTAAACTCAATTGCACTGAAAAAATTGATGAGAACTATCGGAAAGAGATTTTTGCAATATTTTGGGGAATGGGAGACTTGCAAAGACAAAGAGAATTCATAAAAGATAGCACACAGGCAATTATTCCCAAGTATCAGAGGATTACATTGAATCGTAAAAGGGAAAGGAGCACTAATAAATCATACTCAATAATGAAAGATGGGGAAACAATACGGGTATGCAAAACATTTTTCAAAAACACTTTCGACCTATCGGACAGAGCTATTCGTACAACCTTTTTGAAAACAGATAGAAGCACAGGTGTGCTAAGCTTGGAAATGAGAGGTAAGCATGGAAAGGATCGGAAGTTGGATAAAGAACTCGTGAAGAGTGCAAAGGTTCACATAGAAAAAATTCCCAGAATTCCCAGTCATTACTGCAGATCTCAAAGTTCTCGGGAGTATATCGATGGTGGAAAATCTATCGCTGAACTTCACAGAGATTATCTTAAAGAAAGAAAGGAGTCAAACCTTGCAGGAATCAGCTACTGCCAGTACAGAGCTATTTTCAAGTCATACAACCTTTCTTTTTTCACACCGAAGAAAGATCAGTGTGAAGTATGTCTCATTTACCAAAACACGAAACAAAATACAACAGAATATGAGAATCATATTCTAGAAAAGGACTTGTCCAGACTGGAAAAGGAGAATGACAAGAAAAACACATCAGATTCAACCGTCGTAGCAGTATACGACCTACAGGCAGTGCTGTCATGTCCGCAGGGGGAGGCGTCCTCCTACTACTACATTTCAAAGCTAGCCGTTTATAATTTAACAATTGCTGAACTGAAGGGTGACAAATCGGTAAACTGTTACACTTGGGATGAAACACAGGGAAAAAGAGGCGTGATTGAGATTGGGAGCTGTGTGCTGAAATATCTGCAACATTTGAATGACAAAGCTGACTGTCCAATAGACGTCGTCTTTTACAGCGATAATTGTTGTGGACAACAAAAAAATAACTTCATGATGGCAATGTACAAATATGGTGTTACAACATTAAAAAACATAAAATCCATCACACACAAATTTTTAGTGAAGGGCCACACCCAAAACGAAGGGGATTCGGCTCACTCAACTATTGAAAGAGAAGTTAAAAGAGGACTCCGAAGCGGACCGATATACTTACCTGCCCAATACGCCATGGCCATGAAAACGGCAAAGAAAAGTGGCAAGCCTTACCTAGTTCATGAGTTGAGTCATGAGGATTTTTTTGACATAAAAGCTCTGAGGGACTCCTAAGTAATTTTACCAATGTCGGAAATTCGAATGTTTAAGGTGATTAAAGACGACGGCAACTTTTACTTCAGAACATCCTACGGATCACACGCCTGGGAGGTGGCAAACAAAAGGAATAAACGGGGCAATGGGAGCGTGAATCCTGTTCTGATGCCAGCTTATTCCAAGAGACTTACCATTGATGAGAAGAAGAAGAAGGGTATCCTAAAGTTAGTTACCGACGGGATAATACCGTCAATTTATTCAGATTTTTATAAAAATTTGTGAAACTTTGAAGTTACCGGCAAGTTATTATGTTAAGTGTTGTTTAAATAAAATTGAAGCAATAAATCGTTTTTGCATTGACAACATCATCTTTTTTTCCCACCTCAAACAGGTTCCAAAAGAAAAAGCCACTGTAACACTTAAGCAAATATTACACTGATTTTAATGTCATACTGGCATATCTGCATATTTCTCTTAATTTAAGCAAATTTCAATTTATTTGCAACTACTATTCCAACAAGTAGTATTCGTCTGAATTTTATTCATGAACAAGGTGGCTTTGAGGTGAACCAAACGGACGTTAAAAAAATATATCACGTGCGAAAACTTTAAAGCGCTCTGGTGAAAAATATGCATTTTGCAGATATGCCGGTTTGATTTCACAGCGACGATTTGTTTATCTGAATTTATTTGACATGGACATGACAATGACATTAGTGACCTAGTGACCGTCCGCTCGGCAATGAACTATATGTAAACAACTGGAAGGGACCCACTGTGAACGACGAGTGAGGCAAAAATATTTTTCAGGCAACCCGCAGTGTTTACGGATACCTATCTCTCTCTATCTTGTGTTGGCTAATGGGAAGCGCTCGCATAATTTGAAATATTTTCTCGTTTTTTGCTTCTATTTAAGAGTAAACGTGATTAAATAAAAATATTCATTTAGGAAAAAGGATAATATTGTAATCAATTATCATTAAAAAATTATTACTGATTTTTTTATTGACTTTAAAATGGAATTTCAATATTACTCTTACAGGATCAGGAAGTCAAATGAATACAAAATTGAAATTATATATTTTTATTCAAATTTCACAATATATTGTACAGGGTGAGCGAAGCACAATGTCTCAGAACTATCAGAAGGAAAAGAAAAACGATAGGAAAAATTTGAAAAGAGGTTCTTGAATGGTATTGATGAGTGCATTTTGAGCATAATTTCCATAGGTTCCCATTCCTCCATTAGGTCACTCATTATTTGTCATTACTATACCCACTGTTGGAAATTGATTGAACTAGGGGAGATATGCCTATGATGGCACCCCTAACGAGAAAGTTCAATAACTTAAAAACCTTCAGGAGTTGATTCGGTCTATAAATGCCAATGAATGAGAATGTGTTTGTTCATTATCTGGCAAGTATCAAATATGGATTATTTTGAATATTCACTGTGAGAAAAAATAGGAGTTATAATCGTTTCGCCCATCAAAAACGATGAATGAAACATAACTGAAAAATACAGTGAAATGCCACTTCTGAATTACGGTTGGAATGGATGCAATTGAAATAAGTTCATCAATATATTTCAAATTCATACTCACCCTGATGATGAATTTGCGTGTGATGACTTAAAAACGGCACGTACGCCCTGTCGCATTCAACAGAGAACTGGCTTCTCGGTTATAATTGCATTCAGATATATTTTGTTCCCCACCTATCGCTATGAAGAAAAATATTGTTGGTGTGCCATCATAGGAACTATGCCATCATGGGCATATCTCCCCTACTCATTCTTTCATGTTTGAAATTTTTAGGTCTCTCCTTTTTACTTTTTGTCTCAGTGTGTTCACTTTTCTCCTCAATACAATATCCTTCTCTAATGAAACAGTTTGAGTTTCTTTATTGATCAACTTCGAAACTTGGGAGCTGGAAGTGGTAGGCAAGTCAAAGTCAATAACATGGGAAACTTCTTCCTTTGGACCCAAGTTATGAACGTCCACAGATGCATCCTGAAAACAAATTACTAGCTAGTTTTTTTATTTTAAATAGGTGCAAACATACTTTTTTTTTCATTATTAATCAACTAGGTACCTATGAGTTTTCTTATTTTCCTGGGGGAATCAGCATTTTTTGGTAACAAATGCTGAGGAAATGAAAATATACTGGGTACAGCATCTGCTTTCAAAAACCTAGCAGTACCTGGTATGCCTGAATAATCTGTTGGCAGGAAATGCTCCCCACAAAGCTTGCTGCTTTTAGTTGGAGTCCAATTTTCACTAGGAACTGTCTTTATCCATAATTCGAGAATGTCTGGTCTTTTGAATGGAAAACTGCAATAAATAATATTACTCAATATCAATATGGAAGTATTTAACTTTGACAAATAATATAGGTATAGTTTTTGAACATATTCTGAGACTAGACATTGTAAACCTAACTGATGATCAATTTATGAACTATATTTTTCAAAAACCTGAGAGCAATATTCAACTTACCCATGGAATGCTAATTTCTTTTCGTTTTGTTCATTCTTCTTGCATCCAAAGGCGACACAATAAATCACCATTGTTTATCAATACTAATCACAAACCTTCTCAACAATCAGTTCAGTGTTCACAACAACAAATTCAGTCCTTTCGTTACAACAAAACACGCCAAATGAATAGATATTTCACCTCGTATTTCACATGAACTAAGACAATGAACTTATGTCTTCACTTTCTTGCCTGTGTAGATGACAGAAAAAATTCTTTTCTACTTTGATTGAGTTTTTTTTTTATTTTGTCATTCAGGTCTTCATTTGGTCTATTGAAATTCGAAGTTGATGATTTTGTCAAATCAAAATTTGTTTTATCCAATAAATGTGGTGATCTCGGCGGTGATACTCCCAAGTAACAGTCTTCTTTTGGTTCATTGAAATTTGAAGTTGATGATTTTATTATATGATCTGAATTGATTACATCCAAATCAACCAAAGAATAACAATGTTCATCTGTAGTGTTTTTCTGAAGTTGGCACTGTTTCTTCAAATAGAACATGGGAGTCCAAGACAGTTGGGTGCCCCTCCATTACCACAGAGCCCATAATATCCAAACATTTTTCATCATCTTTTGTTATCTGAATATCAATTGGAGGACCTCCACCTGTCCAGCTTTTAGATTTCGTGCGTGTTTTAATATCATGCCAAGTCTGAAAAAATAATTGCATACTTTAGAATACAATATAATGATATAGATCGTCCTGTCGATCCCAGAGTTATCAAAATATCTAATAATAATAGTATATGTACCATGATGGAATATGTCTAATAATATTACCTCTCGCCACTTCTTCCAATCCTTATTTCGCTCCCGGCATCGCATTCAATGTAGTTGCTAGGGATTGCCACAAATCTCTGGATTTCTTGAATGTGAAATCGTTTGTAGATTTTCCACTAGTGAGTTGTGGGTGATTTTTCAAAAACTCTACCAATTCTGCTTTTTGTTCCGGAGATGTAGAGACTAGATATTTACTCATTATGAACTTGAATTTGCTCAAATGTCTCAAATTCTGAATTGTTTTTCAATCAACAAAATAGCTAACCTTCAATAATGAATTATTGGAAGGATACAAGATGAAAGAATCCAGGGGAATATAATATTTCTTAGGGGTTTTTTGTCCAAGTGGTTGAAAACATTGGAAATGATGCAATGTTGCCAAATTTTTCATACGTGGTCTCGATTAAATTCAATTAATAATTTCGTATAGTGTACGTCGAAGTTCGAGAATTCACTTGTATTGTGTCATACGAATATTTTCATTGGTCGTCAGCGACAAATTTCGTATGACTCAGACTACCTAACTCAGACGAAGTGATATTCTCGAACGGTGGGTCCAAACCTATGCAAAAATTCTAAAGCGAACAAGAAATTCGATTGAACATGCGCATTGTATGTGGCATTGTGAATTTAGTATTCCATTTTTTATGGGTTATGGTATGAATGAAGTATCAATATCAATATATAATATTGCTAATTTGAATCAGCTCGCGAGAATAGCTGGTATTGAAGCATTGGAAAATGCAGAACTCCTCAATGAACATAGGAGAAGATTTCGTGTATACGATGATGCATGGGAGGAGACTGAGAATGGTTTTATTAAACTTTATAGACTGACAAAAAGAAGTGTTTCTGATCTTATTGATTTGTTAACACCCCACATGATTCATCCAAGTCGATTATCAGCCCTGAGTATTGAGAGAAAAGTGAGTATAGGTATTAGGTTTGGGATAATTTTATATTCTATTCTCATGATTATAATGTACCATAATTCTTTCAGGTATTCACAGCACTTAGATTTTTCGCATTTGGATGTTATCAACTTGATGTAGGCAATAACATCAATCATGGCATGAGTCGGCCTTCAGTCAGCAGATGTATAGAAGAAGTTAGCTCTGCTCTAAATTTGCCTGAAATTTAAAGTCAGTATGTTAGGATGCCAAGAAATGTTGATGAAATTCGTCAAATACGCACTGAGTTAGTAGCACGAAAGGAAATCCCTATGATGTTCAAAGAACATCGTGCGATTAAGTGCTGTTCGACATATTTCCTATTCTAACATTACCTTATTAATGAACAAATGTTTTCGTAGATTCTACCTTGAACATGATTTTCCTGGTGTGATTGGTTGTGTGGATTGCACATATGTTGCAATATATCCTCCTGAAATTCAACATTCCATATATCCTGAGGCTATGTATGTCAATCGCAAGGGTTATCATTCAACAAATGTTCAACTGGTAATATATATATCATATTTGATGATCAAATTGCATTTCACAATAAACTTTTCTTTTAGATTTGTGATGCTGATTTAAAAATCATCAATGTCTGTGCCAGGTACCCTGGAAGCACCCATGACAGTTTTGTGTGGAATGACAGTGCTGTATTACCATTTATGCAAAATCTTCATAGAAATAATATAATAAGTCTTTTTTTTGGGCAAGTGATTTCAATATACATTCAGATGAAAGAACT